TTATTTTCTATACCTATTTATTAATATGATTAATTTATGTCAGTTAATTTTTTAAATACAATTAGTGGATTCAAAGCGTGGCTTTTGATGTTATTCACTGTGCAGATTTAGCTGCAAAACGATGAATTACAGAATTAAATGGGACCATTCACGTTATCCAGTGCCTACAAGTTGCTAGTATGGTCCTCCTTAACCAAACCCTCATATCTTCTTCCTCTTTTACATTATTTTATTGCTACGCATGAAATTATATTCAGTACTCACATAGAAATTTGTCTTGCTTGGAGTTTCCCCCTCCCCTCCCCCCCCCACCTGAATCCAGCAGTACCAGGTTGTCTTGTACTCTCAGATGCAAGTGGAGCTTTCTGTTTGTGAGTTCAATTTATAACCCTATCCTAATCCTTATAACAGTAACACGTTTCTTATTTGTAAAACTGTTTGCCTTTTATGTTCCTATTGCAGGGAGACACCAGACACTGATTTCTTTTTAGTCTTGTAACACTGGGTCGAGGCTTGTTCGTAGGTAATATTATCAATCAGTTTGACATCAAATTGGAAATGCTGATCTTGTTTCATTTTGAAGTACTTGCATCTATTTAGTACTTAGTTCTTGTTGTGTGGCAAAAGCAATTTAATATGCCGAAAGCACTGTACTTTGTCGGAGTCTTTGTTATTTCTTGTATCTACAGAAGCTTTAGATCTGTGATTGATTGTACCTAAGGTAAAGGGTTACATGCAATCGACGTATTTTAAGCTGTGAGGTTTTCTTTTGGGGAATGGAATATTTTACTGTAAATTACAGATGTTTGTGGTTTTAATTTTTTGTCCTGTTTGCATCCTTTGTACGTTGATTTCTGAATTCAAAATGATTTGTCTTCATACAGTAAATACATTAACAATGAAGCAATACAAGGTCTTGTCATCAACTTATGTATAGCTCTCTAGGGTTTTCATTTCATTAAAATATTCAGCACTAGCCACACATCTTCATCAGAAAAAAGCATTGCTCATTTATAGGAATCTATCATGTGAATCTTAGTTTTAAAAAAGGTGCAAAATGCAAAAAGCCTCTAGAGCCTAGATGCAAGGTGGAGGGTGAAGTGTGCCTTTCGTAGGCGAGACATACTTTTTATATTAAAATGTTGTGTTGTAATATATCTAGTAGATACTTTTTATACTAAAATGTTATTTTATAATATATCTATTATATACTGGTTCACTCTTGAAGCACTTAATCTTCTCCCCCACACTCTTTGTTCCCTCGCCATTGATATTTAATAAGTAAATATTATTCGACTACATTTCACCTAGTTTTACATCCCGGTAGAAAGCCCAATGTCAAAAGGCCAACATTTCATTGCCTTATTTATTTACTTTTATTAATTTAGTTGGTGTATAGCTGGATTCATGCACCAAATCCTACCATTAATATACAGATGGATTCATGCATTATACAAGAAGGAAATTTGTGCATTCTCCTCGCCTGAATCAATGCCTTAATTCTTGCCATTAATGTGGCTCGTGTATTTATCAGAATATAAAGCACAAGAATAGATCTTAAATCACTCTTACTTGCAAAACTACATAATCTTCCTCGCTATCAATTTTGAATTCCTTTCTTCTTTTACTTCTATTGTCCTTTTCTATTCTCAACCATAACATACTACATGCATTAATATGTTTTTGGTGGAAGAGGCAAGCGAGCAGCTAGGCAAGTAAACTTTATCTTTTATTCCTAATGTATCAGAAGTGCGTGCTTGGTGCGTATGCAGAAAAGTCCTCCAAGCGTGTTTGAGAGGGTTTCTTATTTTGTTTTGCACTTACATCTCCAAACGTGTTTCGCTCTGTGTTCACTTTGTCTCTAGCGGCGTGCTTTTGAAAACTAAGACATAGATTATGAATTGATTTGCCTATTATTTCAGTCTATCCTTTTTTCCACGCACCTAAAGGTCAAAATTCTCTGGCCATATTTTGTTTGACTTGATTACTTTCTATCAAACCATGTCTCACAGCTAATGCCATGCATTATTCTTAACGAATGAGTTGATGGTATTGGTAGTCTCTGTATAGGTTGTCAAATTCTGGGATCTTTAATGTCATGCAACCCATCTGAATTCATAATAATGCATGCGACTAATTCTTTCAACCTCCCGTGCTCCGATTACGTCAGAGTATGGTTTTGTTAATTGATACAAGGAAAAGACGGTTGCTTTTACCAGTTATGACATTGATTTAGAAATGAATAAAGCCCGTATTTCTGAAAAATTCAGACATTGCATTTACCAATTATATGATATTGGTTTGGATTGCAGGATATGGTCACTTGTATGAGTCTGAAGGCATTGTACTTATTGATTGATTGCCTCCCATTGCCTTGACTGTTGAGATGCTATGGCTTAACATCTGTTATAGTTTATTTGAAGTTTTCCCCCCACATGAATCAATGATCAGTTGGTCCATGAGTGTGTGCATATGACTAGAGTTGTGTTTCTAGTTTCAGAAAACTTACAATCAAATACAACATGAACAACAGAAAACTTACAATTAACTTGTCCTTAATTGTAACTTTTCTATTGTTCCTGTTGCATTTAATTATACAGATTGTTGATCTCTTCATGTAAATTCCCTACGGTGAATTGTGCACCATGAGCAAAACTTGCTTTGTAAATAGAATAATTTGTCTGCATGATAATTTTCAAAACAGCAGGATATCCAAATCATTTTACTGCTTGGAACCATCTTGAAAACCTTAAAGAATGTGCTGAGAAACGTAGTTAGATCAATTTTTGATTTTGGAACCATCTTTATAGTGTTTGTGATTTCCATCCTACAGGTTCTGTATTGCTTTTAGGCTGGATGGTCTCCCAAGACACGCTGATATTAAGAGAATCTCTCATGCATAAGGTAGAAATGGATCATTTACCTTTCTTACTTTAAAATTGAATCAAATAATTTGCCTGAATAACTCGAATAACATTGCAGTTGTACACTTGCAATTATCTTTTCTTGGTGAGCAAAACTGAAATGTTTTCTACTTCCTTCAACTTATGATTATTTTAAGGATACGACAGTGGATTGATCTCTCATTGTTGGCATCGGCATCACTGCTTGTGCTGTAATCTTTACATATATCCCAAAGGTTTCTACGCACTGTTTTGTATGTTTGGCCCTGAGAGTCTGTAGGGAGATCAGAAGTGATGGCACGTCGGAATGCTAGTCGTGGAATTTAATACAGCACTTTCTGCTATTTCTTAAGAGTGAATTTTGAACAACATTTCCTGTTTTATATATATATATAACAGTCTTATGGAGAGCATAGTTCCTGCACTAAAAGTCTGATAACAGCCGCCTGGATTAGGGATGTCAAAATATTCGACACGAACAAGTCGTTTCTCTGGTGATCCGATCTAAATATTCAGATATCTGATCTGATTTTTTCCCCAAATAATTCAAATCGGATATCCGGTAAAAAGATCAGATAATTTAATCGGATATGGATTAGCAAACAACTGCAGAAGGTTTTCAAGAAGAACATCGGCCAAGCTGCTGCCTTGTTCAGGTGTCTCCATTTCCATGACTGCTTTTTTCAGGTGTCAATTGATCACTATGCATATATATAATCTAATGGGGTAATAGTATTTGTTCTTTTCTTGTTAAGGACGATAGTACATACAATTTTTTTACAGTAGTTTGAAAACTAATCATTTGACTTGTCCGAAACGAACCCAGTTTCATGGAAACAGTGATTACCTGAGAACTTGGGACTAAGAAAAGAAAAAGAAGAAAAGATGTGAAGACAATTTTAACGTTGTTAAAGTGAGTTGGTGGATTTTATAATGGAAATTTAAAAGAGTTGTTACCATAAGGACATTTTTAACAATAAAGTTCTGTACAGGTACACCTAAATCAAAATGTTAGGCAACTTTTATCAGTTTTCAACCCTTAAAAAATGAGATTAATTTTTGGTGAAGTAAACTATTTGTTTGGATCGGATATTTAAAAATTTGAATATTCAATTTAATCTGATCAAATTTAGATCAATAATTTCATGATTCAAATTTTTGGATTTGATTAGATATTCAAATTTGTATACCCCTAACTAGGACTTCAATCTTGGGTACCAAAGCTATTACCGTGGGATGTTGACCGTAAAGACATTATTGTTTATTAAGAATTTTAAAATTATATTTGTTTATGCATTTAAAATTATTAGATACGTTTACAAAAACCACAAATATATAATCGATTATGTGTTTAAACAATTAAAAATCAGTTTGTAAATAATAAATACAAAATACCATAAATGAATATATTTCCCTTTCTTTAATATATAAATAATCAAATATGAATATCAAAGATAAAGTATAGTAGAAGTCATTAAAATATGCTCAAATGATCGTTTTTGTCTCTAAATTTTATGAAATTTTCAAATGATCATTAATTGTTTTAGTTGTTACAAAATAATTATTAAATTTATCAAAATTTTATAATGAAATAACGTTATGGTTATCATTTTGTTACTTTTAGATGTTTAATAATTAAAACGATCATTTTAATATAGTTGAGTGACCTCTAATATACTTTACTCAAATATTTATGACAATAATATAAAAAATAATTTAAATATTTGTTTGCATCAAAATTATTTCATAATTCGGAGGGCATTTCATAATTCGGAGGTCTTCTACGGAAGTTGCTCTCAACCTAGTGTTAGTGACAACCTACTATCTTACCTTCTCTTACCCCATTACATACGAGAACAAGAGAGCCATTTTAAAGATCCGAACCTGGAACTAAAATCCAATAACAATGGGCCCATATTCGACCAGTCGGATCAAAAAAAGACCCGGCACTCTATTACCATAACAAATGACTGTGACCGACAGTTGAGTCGGAATAGACTCACCACCAGATCCCATACCAGACGGACACGGTGGATAAGAAAAATCAAAACCCAAGGGGCATAAAAGTTAATTAATAAATAGACAAATATATACGCTCTTTCCTTTTTCTAGATCTCATTTCACCCTCTCCCTTCTCAAAGAGAGCGTTCCTCCACCGTCAAAATGGAGTCTCGATCCAGATCTACGAACGATCTGACCATCTCGATCGTATGGCCGCTTCTCTTCCTCTTTCTGGTCCACGGTTCTCACTGCTTCTACCTTCCCGGTGTCGCCCCCGAAGACTTCCAGAAGGTAGACTTTTGGTTTCTCCCTGTGTTTCTTTCTTTGTTTTGCTTGATCTTGTTTGAATTTGCCGGAGAATAATAGGATTCAAATAAGATCCTTCCGAGAGGGAAAATTAATGAAATTTTTGTGTTGAAATTGGAAATAACTTGTCTGATTCAGCTAAGTTTTTTCATTAGAATAAGTTAACTATATTTTTCACTTTTTGATTTCGTTTTCCGTTTCATTATTTTATTTGAAAACGTTGAGCGTGGACTGATTTAGCTAATTTGTAGTTTTATTCCATTTTTGGCTTTCAACTAAGGCATCTGTAATTGTACTTTATGCTGATCATGTTCTTTAATGCTACCTAGAATAATTATTGATTAAGATTTAGGAACTGTATCCTAGAAAGATGTTTAATTTACACAATCTGGTTTTTAATTTGTATCTTCACTCTAACCTCTTTTGCTTTGATAGGATTCATATATATCGCTACTAGAGTTGTAGTTAATGAAAAATTTGTGTTGGAAATGGAAATTACATCTCAGATTCAGCTAGGTCGTTCAAATTAGAAGTTAGAACAAGTTAACTTCATTTCACTTGATTTCGGTTTCAGTTTTTCCCCTTTATTTGAAGACGTCGAGCATGCACCCTTTTAGCTAATTTATAATTTTATTCCATCCTTGCATTTATCATAGGCATTTGAGATTCCACTCGATTCTGTTTATGTTCAGTAATGCTACCTAGAATAATATTTCTTAAGATTCAGGCATTGTATTCTCGAAAGAGATTTAATTTTCATAATTTCTTAGTGGAAGCACAGAAGCATACTTGATCTTTATGGTGATTAGTTGCATACTTTTCATGCGTACTTAATCAGTTATGCTTTATGCTGTTCATGTTCTGTAATGCTACCTAGAATATTATTGCTTACGATTTAGGAAATGTATTATGGAAAGAGATTTAACTTATGGAATGTCATAATGGAAACACCAAAGCATATTTGATCCTTATGGTGTTTGGTTACTTGGTGCTTATTATCACGCGTGCCTAATTGGTTATGATTTTGATTAAACCACTCTAGATTCTCACTACATGCCTTGAAATTTTGGGGAGTGTTCATTTAGGAACCATTTTGGCCTTCTTTTGTTTTGATTCTTTTGTTGGGATTTGCAGGGGGGTCCTTTGAAGGTGAAGGTGAATAAATTGACATCGATAAAGACTCAACTTCCTTATTCGTACTATTCGCTTCCTTTCTGTCCACCCGAAAAGATAGTTGACAGCACAGAGAATCTTGGGGAAGTGCTTCGTGGTGACCGAATTGAAAACTCTCCTTATGTGGTTAGTTATTAGTATTTCTGTTGATTTAGGGCTGATTGCGTATTTTATGGCCATTAACCTTTTGACTTTAATTAATGCAGTTCAAAATGCGAGAGCCACAATTGTGTACTGTTCTTTGCCGCATTACACTTGATGCCAAAACTGCAAAGCAGTTTAAGGAAAAGATTGGTGATGAATATCGAGTCAATATGTATGCCATTTAATTATTCTGACATGGAATTTATCTTTCAATCTTTTAATAACTAGTTCCTAGGTTCTCTTTCTTATTATTTGTGATTGACTTGACAGGATACTGGATAACCTCCCCCTTGTTGTTCCCATTAGAAGGTTCTCTTTCTTATTATTTGTGATTGACTTGACAGGATACTGGATAACCTCCCCCTTGTTGTTCCCATTAGAAGGTCAGATCAGGATTCTTCCGTTTTTTATCAGCTTGGCTACCATGTTGGGCTCAAAGGCAAATACACTGGGGTAAACATTCTATCTATTAAAAGCAAAATATCCTTAATTTGTGGATATATTGGCTACTATGTCACTGTATGCTTATGTTTTCTGATTATATACAGAGCAAGGAAGAAAAATATTTCATTCACAACCATTTAGCATTTACTGTCAAATATCATAGGGATTCACAAACTGACTCTGCTAGAATTGTGGGATTTGAAGTTAAACCATACAGGTTAGTTCATTTGAATTCTAGCATTTTCTAATATTTTTAATTCTAGGTTTCTGTGGCTGAGATTTTAGTATCATGCTTGATGCATTTTCTTTTTGCTCTAAAACAATGCAGTATTAGACATGAATATGAGGGGACATGGAATGAAAAAACTCGTTTAACAACATGCGATCCCCATAATAAGCGCACAGTTGTTAACTCTAACACTCCTCAAGAAGTTGAAGCAAACAATGAGATAATATTCACTTATGACGTTGAATACCAGGCAAGCTCCTCAACTTTAAATAGATTTTGGTGTTGACAGTTGCAGTTTTCTATTTTGTTTTTGTGTCAACCATGAGCTGATTCCGTAAAGGTGGTATTCCTTTGTGTTTAAGTAGACTCCGTTGACCAACTATCACTTGGAAAAAAATTTATCTATTGTATCTCCATTTCTTGAAGTAAAGCTAGCATCAATTACCTATGAGGTGCTAATATTCTTAAACTTTACTTGACTTTCAGGAAAGCGATGTGAAGTGGGCATCTAGATGGGATGCATATCTTCTAATGAATGATGACCAAATACACTGGTTCTCAATTGTCAATTCTTTGATGATCGTTCTCTTCCTTTCGGGTATGGTAGCAATGATCATGCTAAGGACACTTTATCGTGATATTTCTCGGTATAACGAACTTGAGACTCAAGAAGAGGCCCAAGAGGAGACGGGATGGAAGCTTGTCCATGGAGATGTTTTCAGGCCTCCATCTAATTCTGACCTATTGTGTGTCTATGTTGGCACTGGTGTTCAATTTTTGGGCATGGTACTTGTTACCATGATCTTTGCTGTTTTTGGATTCCTTTCCCCTTCGAACCGAGGTGGTCTTATGACAGCTATGCTATTACTTTGGGTCTTCATGGGCATTTTTGCTGGCTATGCATCTGCCCGTCTATACAAAATGTTTAAAGGAGCTGAGTGGAAGAAAGTAGCTTTCAGGACTGCATGCATGTTCCCAGGCATTGTCTTCGCCATCTTCTTTGTCTTAAATGCTGTTATATGGGGCCAGAAGTCTTCTGGGGCTGTGCCTTTTGGGACAATGTTTGCTCTAGTGCTCCTATGGTTTGGAATTTCAGTTCCACTTGTTTTTGTGGGTGGCTATGTTGGGTTCAAGAAGCCAGCAATCGAGGATCCTGTGAAGACGAATAAAATCCCCAGGCAAATCCCCGAGCAGGCTTGGTATATGAACCCAACTTTCTCTATTCTGATAGGAGGAATACTTCCATTTGGAGCTGTCTTCATCGAGCTGTTCTTCATTCTTACCTCAATCTGGCTGAACCAGTTCTACTACATCTTTGGTTTCCTCTTCCTGGTATTGATTATCCTCCTTATCACTTGTGCTGAAATAACCATCGTGCTCTGTTACTTCCAGTTATGCAGTGAAGATTATCTGTGGTGGTGGAGGTCATACCTCACATCCGGCTCCTCGGCTCTGTACCTCTTCCTCTATGCTACATTCTATTTCTTCACAAAGCTAGAGATCACTAAGCTGGTTTCAGGGCTCCTATACTTTGGGTACATGCTGATTGCTTCATACGCCTTTTTTGTGCTGACGGGCACCATTGGGTTTTATGCATGCTTTTGGTTCACCAGACTTATCTACTCATCTGTCAAGATCGATTAGAGTGTGAAATGGGGACATGCTTAATGGTTCTATTGTTTTCAAAGAACGTCGCCTTAGGTTAAGAGATATATATACTCGTGGTTTCAGATTTAAACTTTAATGCCCATTTTTGAACCGAGTCCATACTTTTATAGTTGGTTGAAAGGTACATTTTATTCTGTCATTTTGTTAAGAGGAGCTTCCTGTGATTCTTTTTTATTGTTCTTTCTCTTGTATTTTCTGAAATTGATGATTACTTAATAATTCTCCCTAGTCTTTTCCTTGATTCATTTACAGAAAATGCGATCCCCCCCCTTCCCACCTGAAATTTGAACATTATTAAAACACTTTTAAGTAGAATGGCGTTGGTAAAATATTCTTTTGATCAAAATAGGATGGACTGAAAAAATATACATTGTCAAAATCATAACTAAAATTGAACAAATAAAAAAAATAAAGGACTTGTTTGTGTGTGGGGAGATGGCCTCTGAAATCAAAGGATATTATGCTATAAACTATTTTATTTCTGTACATGATTGTCTGAAGCTAAAGAAATTCAGAGCTTTAGGAAATCCAAACATGAAAAACAATTGATTCACTTCAACAATTCCCATAGATAAAACCTTGAGAGACTTTGGTAATTTATCGGGGTTTGATCCTTCAACTCCCCCATCAAACAATAATATTAAGCTTGATTCTGACTTGCCTCTTCACTTGGCCTTTGCCTGAAGATTCTAAACCGCTTGCACCGCGGTCAACTTTCTACCTCACCATCAACGTTATGAACAACCGGCGGTAGACACAGATGGATCTCTGCGTCGGGAACCTCGCACGCAACTTAAATCATCATTTGCTTTGTAGTAAAGTAATTTCCGCACATAGAACAGCATGTAACACTGTGAAGCTCTCACTATTTCTTCATCAACCTCAGAAATCCAAGCATCATAGCATTTGTACCACTGGTTCTTTAGGCGCAGATACGTCACGTAATGGCCCGATTCCAGCATCCCTGAATGAGTAATCTTAGCAAAGATAGTGTACTCTGCAGAACTATCCGTGTTTTCATATTCGAAAGCAAATAGTCTATTTCCGAACCTGCTTCTAATAATAGAGGAAGACAAATATGGAGTCATGTCCAATGAGAAAAGGAACTGCAAATATTGATCGATTTTCCTCGATGAATCTCTTGATATGTAAACACAGCACCAATGGTATTCTTTTAATCGAAAGTAGCTTCAATGTGTCCCTCGGTTCTTGACAATTCTGACAATGGAGTTTCTGGTCAGAACCCAACCTCTCTTCTCTTGTGAACAAATTCAAACAACCTGAAAGAGTAGACAAGCCCATCTTCTCATCTGGTTTCAATGGCTTGACAGCTACATGTTCCGTAGTTGAGTTAACAGTGTCTAAGTTGCGTGAAATATCGACACAAGGATCATAATTTGTGGAAGTAAATCCACAAGTTCTACACACGACATCCGATCTCAACAACCCGGAGAATGCCCTATGGGCAATGCATTGGCAATCTTCATCACCTGCATAAAAGAAAAACATCTCGAGTATAATTGAATCCAGATTTTCAGTGTGAGTGGAATATCTATAAACACTCGAGTGACTCTAAGAATATTCCAACATTCTTATGCCTATAGGTATGTTATTACTTATTATTCTTCATCTCAGAAGTCAGAGAATCATCTCAAATTGGTTTCCACCTCTACAAGATGAGCATGTTATTAACAATATTCCAAATGCCTCGGACCAGTAATCAAATTTCCTATTATACCTCTCGTCTTCGTACCAAGTGACCTCAACGGCTTGCATCTGTAGCACAATTGTGTATTTATGACTAATATCGAACATCAACGTGTAGTATGGAGAATCATTACCACCTTAGCAAACATCTCAACAAATTGTTACCTTTGCTATAGTTCCTCGCTTTGCTCTCCTTCTCATGGACACCATCTAAAACTGAAATGAAGAATTCATGAGCGTCCTGCTCCTCATAACTAGCTAAATTTGACGAATGCTGCCACCAGCTTCAAAAAACAACCCAAATCCATCAATCGTTATAGGGGAGACCAACTCGATCAAGTGCAACATACAGGCTATCCGAATCAAATATCTTAACAATTTGATTCAAGGCTAATATCTTTACAACCCTGAAGATCAAGATTATGAAGCTTAACCAATATCAAAACCGAACTTCAAGCTTAGTCAATACATAAAGCGACCAAAGCAGACCCAGTTTTATTCACAGTAAGTCATGTAATATAACAATGAAAATAATGGGAATGATTTAGCACCTGTAAAGAAACTGAGCTGGACTATAAGGGGATCGATCACAGGAGAACATAGCCGAAACAAGAACACCGATATCACAAAGCAAGCATAGCTTTTTACCGGTTCTTTTCATGCATTGATCGCGGTTGTGGTGATCACTCAAGAAATAATTCCTCATAGGAGGAGCATAAAGCAAAGCCTGCAACACAGAGTTCATGAAACAAGTATTCCCCAGATTGTTCAATCCCCTCAATCCCAATGGATAACACGATTTCGACCTCCCATTTCTCATTGCAATCAATTGTTTTGCTTTCTTCAAATCCAATTCCATCCCTGAATCCAATAACCTCCTTCTCTTGCTTGATCTCACAGAACAATTCTCAAAATCATTACTACTTTTACCCCCAGGCATGCCCTTGATTTGTTCAGACACGACAACCTTGTCGAAATCAGGATCGTATACCTGATCACAACACAGAGAACAATAAAGCTCTGATCTTTCGATGTCAATCGCTACCTCATGGCCTTTCTCGGATTGGGTATGCAAAAGAATGTGGTCCGAACATGATATCGATGAGCAAATCAAACAAATATACATTCCGCCTCGATACCCATTACAGAAAAAACATATGGGCACTTTAGTATTGTGGTTGACAACTCTATTTAATCCATTTGGGGTGGTTTTGAGGCAACTCCGGAGCGAATCATAGCCATGGAGGGCATGTCTGAGCTTGTAGTCAGCTAGATGTTTGCAGGGTTTGCGGTTAGTGTACAAAGAGCTCCTCACGCACATGCTAATGTCGATAGAAAGCGCTGAGATTTTATTGGAATAAGGCGGTAAAAGCTGTTAACTGGTAAGAAATAAAGATTAACAGAAGAATTATGAGATGAGATTTTGGCAAAGTTTGCGGCGTGAAGAATCAATGGGTGTGGAGTTCTTATTTGGGGTTGTTGAGTTTGAGTGGGTTAAACACTAAAATTGAGAGATAAAACAGGGGATGTAGAAGATTGCAGAAATTGCTTGCAAGGATTTCTCATGTTATGAGAAGGATGATGAGTTAATGAGGAGACCGACTCAAGTCCGTAAAGGAATTTCATTTTTTTCTCGTAACCATAATATTAAATTTGCGCTATTAATTATTGTAAAATATTTTAAATAAATATTATATTATAACTATCATAAACTATTTAAAATTAATTATATTATAATTTTTTAAATTCTAATAATCAAAATCACATTCAAATAATAAATACTGAGATCAGAGAAGACTCAACTCTTTTTAGGATTTTCATTTTCTCTCTTAACTGTTGGTTAATTCGTTGATACTAATTTTAATATTAATTATCGATTTATTTGATTTTTCATTTATTTTCTATAACTTATCCGTCGTTACTAAATTTTATCCGGATCCAATTTTTAGGCTCAGAATTAAGCTCGATACACAAACTCAAACCAAGACCCATTAATCAACCCCAAATTTACACAAATCCATCTACGAACGTGGATCCAATTCACCCGGTCAATTCCATCGAGTTACCTCCCTGAAATCTCTCAAAACAACGCAAAATCTCTCCCACCTTCTCAAGTCTCAAATTACTGAAACTTCAACTGCTCATTTGGAGATTATTTAAATGATGGTTCTTCTAAGATTAGGGATCGGCCACAACGACAGAGAATACAAAGAGGATTTAGCTACAAATTAAAAGCAGAAAAAATAACGAAAAGACGGGACTATGGCCCCTCGACCATAGCTCCACGCCATTGCCAAATGCCCTAGAAGCTCCACTGTCATCACTTGATCTTCCGAGAGCTCCCCGTGACCGCCCTCAAACCACACCAGTGACCATCAAGCCCTTGTCTACACATCAGGCAGTGCTCAATTCGAGACCACACTCAAGATGGAGAACGAACAATGGACACAATAACTTACGATAAAGCAAACCGGTGAGAAGGAAAGAGAAAAAAACAAAATAGAAAATCAAAAGAGAAAAGACGTTTACCCAGCTTTCAGCATTTTCCGACGACCGCAGCATCGACTTGAACATCATTTATTTTGGAGTTTCAAGGGTTAATCCATGTTGCAGTCATGCGTCTTTGAACATCATTCATTTTGGTCCTAGTGGGTTTAACCATGTAGAATTTGGTCATTTTTTTACTCAATTCAATTATATCCTGAACAAATATTTTCATTAGTAATTAGGTTCTCTAATTTTTTTATTAATTCAATTAGGTCCTAAAATTTATTAATTTAGCTATAATAATTAATTAGGTTCAATTTGATCCTTAATTGATATTCGGCCCAAATTTCTCAATTAATTCAATTTGCTACCTATTTTGCAATTGATTAATAAATTGGGCATTGATTTTTAGTTAGCTTTCATGCATGGTCATTTATAATTTTGTTCTTACCATGTGGTTACTAATGACGTTTTCTTTTCGTGCATCATTTGTTTTCTAAAATTACATTACATGAAAATTATTTTCGTCTTTCAATTGTTTGTTATATCAATTAAAAGAGGTAGTGTCCTAACTCCTAAGTGGTTGGATTGCGAACTTTTTAGTTGTATGTAATAGAGCGACATTATTCTCAAAGGATGCGGGTCTCCTTTTCAAATGGGTGCAAACACACTGTGTTGCTTCTAAACAAGGTCCACTAGATTTCTTTAAAAATTGCATTCACATTCGTAATTATTTAAAAAGTGAACATTGTGTATTTTCTAAAGGTATTAATTTTGGACATTGTGAGGAGCTCTAACATTCCCTACACATAATCGAATTCCGAATCTATTTTAATTCGCATACTCAATTTAAAAGTATTCGAGCGTATCTAGCACAAAACGACCGACGGCGACTCCCGTTTTTTAAACATATATATTTGCCATGATTATTTTTGAACCACCTAAAAATAATTTCGACATTATCTTTATTTTTATTTTTTTAATTTCTCTTTATAGGTCGTTTGGTTTATTTTTTTTTACTTTATTTAGGGTTGAATTTGACGTTGTCTCGACTGATTAAAATGACGTTTATTTATTATTTTATTGATATGCTCTGCTTTAGATCATTGAAAGAATTTGTATATGTGGTTTATGTTTGGAGATAGTTTTCTCATGAGCTCGACTCTGATTCGCAATTGTCAGTGGTCTTTCAATTGCTTAATCACATGTTGTGGTTTGTTTACCGATGTAGTTAATCTCATTCAAGTCTATATTTTGTTCGAGTTTTTTTAGTGGGTTTTTAACATTTTCATTGTATGATCCTTATATGATATTTAGTGTCTGGTTTCGTGTTAATGATTATAAAAAAATAATTTAATTATGTGTTTAGTTTACACTTATGATTGTAAATTGTTATTATAATTATATATTTTTCTTTTTTAATAAAACTAACGTATTCTATTTGAATAAAAAGATTTAATAATTAAATTGATCATTTGATTATAGTCCATGACTTCTAATATACTTTATACAAATAATTATTATCCATTAAAATAGCCAAAACATAATAGAGTAAAATGATTTAAATTAAAATATAATTTTTACGAATATATATATATATATATAATAGTTAAATATTATTTTTTTATATTTATATTGTATAAATTCTTTTATATAATATAACAAACTCTAGGTCTTAAATATAAACTTTAAAATAATAACTATACACTTAAATATTAAAATAAATAATATAAACCCATACAAATTTAAAAATAATATATAATTTAAATCTAAATATTAATATTAGAATAATTTATGAATAATAAATTAATTTTAAATCTTAAATTTTAATTATCATGGAATAACATATGTTTTATATCATTTCTAATTAATCAATCGAAATAAAAAAAACACGTGTCACAACATGACCCCAACTTGAGTTTATTCATTACCAAACCAAGAGCCGGTGGTTGTTAAAACTTGGCGTCTCTGGTTTCCGTTTCTTGTACGCAACTTTCAATGGATCTTACACCCCAGCAACTTCTACAATTCAACGGCTCCGATCCCTCCAAGCCCATATACGTCGCAATCAACGGCTGCATCTTCGACGTCACCTCCGGCAAATCCTTCTACGGCCCCGGCGGCGCATACGCCATGTTCGCCGGCAAAGACGCCAGCAGAGCACTTGCGAAGATGAGCAAGAACGAAGAAGACGTCTGCGCCAATCTCGATGGCCTCTCGGAAAAGGAGATGGGAGTCCTCAACGATTGGGTCAAGAAATTCGAAGCTAAGTATCCGATTGTCGGCCGCGTTGTCTCTTGAAATCTGAACCCTCTATATTGATGTGTTTGGTTTATGGGAAAAAATCTATGCTACTTTCTATGCCTAATTTCTTTACTTAAGTGTTCTAAAGAGCATGGTGATCTATCCATTAATTGTCTTTGGTGTTTAGATCATAACCGTTTAAGGTTAAATAAATGGGTGAAATCAATCAATTGAGATACTTATGGCTTGTTTTGTGTTGTATGTAGTTGCTTCCTGTGTTTGCTTCTTGGTCGTAATGGTGATGATTGCCTTGTTTTGGGTTTAGCTTCTACAATTATTGCTGGATATGATCATATTATCGCGATTGACGGGTATTGAGACATGAATTATCTTTCGAAAATCATAAATAAATTTAAATTGTAAATATAATTGTGATATCATGGTAATATTTTTTTATAGAGGGAATATAAAGTAGTATACGTTTAAAAATTTTAATTATGTAATATTATATGTTTATAGTTCAAATTTAAGATATCAAACTATAATAATAAATCATTTAATTGTTTAATTAGGGTGATATTATAATAAAATTAAAAGTTATTACATTACGATAATTGTCACCGTAATTTAATATACCATGGATGATAGCTATAGATGGTAAGGATTGGATTGGATTGAATTGGATGGATTTTTGCTCACTTGATTCGAGAAACATGTTTTTTTTCTATTTTAATTCGAGTTTAAAAATATTAATTCGACTAAATTTTAATATGAATTTTTGGGTTTGTATGACTTAATTTAACACAAATCTAAAAAATATTTTTTTTATAAGATAGAGGCCTAATTAAAAAAACTATTGAATATTATAGTAGAAAAATAATAACAATTATTTATAAAATATATAGAAGAAAATTAGACTATTATTCATGTTCGTGTTTAGATTCTTTACCTAAATTCGAATTCAATCTCAATTCAACTTGATCTCACTTCTTACAAAGCCCGACAAAATGAAAATTTAATTCGATTTAAAAAAATGATTCTATCATATTAAATTGAATCAAAATTTGTCAAACTTAAATCACTATTTTTTTAAAATAGTATGACATTGTTACAAAGTATTATATGTTCATGATTTTTCTTAGTCGTTGATATTGTACATGCATCATATATAACACAATTGTTTGAATCCAAAATCTTAAGAAATAATGAAACTTTTTTTAACCACTAAAATTACTCAATGAATTTAATGGTTACTCAAATCAAATTATCATCTCTATAGCCAAGAAAGATACTTAACCCTTGGTATAAACCAAACTCCAATGAATATAATACTCACATCAATGCCCAGATAAGTCAAAACTACGGCTTATCACAGCATTGACACAAATACAAGTTAACGGCCGTAAAGCAACATTAAAAGATGGGTTTTCAAAATGGGCGGTGCTCATCATCGACTCTTTTAGTACAATCACAAAGCTTCCTCCAACGGCATATGCGCAATTCAGATCGGCATTTACAGTATCCAAAGGCACTGGTCTTCTATACATTGCTATGGTTTGACTTGACTACCGTTGATGAGATTATAATAATAGCTGCAGTCGGTCCAGTGTTTAACGGCGGTGTTGGAGTGGAAATCGCCGAAAGCAGCTACTTTATTGCATACAATATTTAATTCACGGTGAACAGGAGAAACACAGCTGGAACATGGAAAGGTAAGAACAAAGCGTGTTTAGGCAAAGGCCCAGCTCAGGTGCTTTAATAACAGACTGGATCAAATCAAGATTAGATTTATGCATTTGATGGATTCTTACTTACTCGTGTGATTTATGAAGCTTTTTTATACCTCTAAACTTAAGTTAGGATAAACTACATAAATGGTCACTGAATTTTTATCATATATTTTAATCATCTAACTTTTTATGTTTCCTATGCACATTAAGTTTTTAATTTATTTTTATTATGATTACTATTATCAGCTGCAAGAGGCCGAAGCAAGCTTGCTAGAAAAAATTGATTCATAGTGGTCTTTTTGTTGTTGTTAAATATGGTGTTAATATTCTTGCATAAGTAATACTCGAAACCTCAAAATTAAAATTTCAAAAGATAACAATAGATTCCTTAATCACGGAAATTACTTAATTCATGTAATTTATAGTGGATTATAGTGCAAGTATATGATCATAAAAAATATCGTATGCATGCATCGCCCAAGTATAAATAGATTAGGCTATTTCATGCGTGCATTAAATGGAATCTTTTTCATTAATGCATGAAATATTTTAAAACAACATGTTCACAAAAGTTCAAGGTTAGGCCAGGCTAGGCTAGGCTTGATTTTATTTTATTTTGTTGACATGGCTAGGAAGTAACATGTTTTAATGAGAGGCGAATGAATCTCTATAGTTTTCCTCCTGCCTCGATTCATGCCCATTAATTTATTCTTTTTATATTTTAAATGGGAACTTTAACTTTTCTTATTTCTCGAAATTATAAAATTATCAATGACTACCCATTTATATAGGTTGAATTACGCTGCACTCTCCACACTTATCTACTGTATATCTTATTCTCTCTTCTTAATTTGACTCTATTTTTCAATTAGTTTTCTACAGAATAATAATAAATATAAACAAATTTATTACTAATTGATGTAATGTGATATTATGTTTCTAAATATAAATAAATAAATTTTACGAAGAAAAGCTTTAATTAAAAGGATATTTTTATGATGGAATCTTACAAAGATTTAATTTAAGATTAATGGATTAATAAATTAAATATTAATGATATTATAAAAAAAACTAAATTCTTAAGGTAGATATAATTTGATTACTTCATTATTTTGAATTTTAATTAACATAATTTGTCAATTGTTTTGACATTAATTATAGTTTGGCAATAATATAATTAAAAAATGATCTCCCACATTTCTCAATGGAAGAATTCGATGCAATGCAATTTTTTTTAAGTTAATATGGCAAATGGATCATTGCTACGCTACGAGAAAGAAACAATTTCTTTTTGCATTTTAAAATCGAAAAATTGCCTTCAAAGTGTGAATTAGTGAGAAAAGGACACCATTCCCTTTACTCTTCCAATTTCCTTTTTTTGCTTTTTTTAATTCGGTAATGCGAAATAAGAAACCGTTTTCATATAGAAACAATCCAATCAAGTTCGCAAGAGAGAATTATAATTCAGTAATGACCCTTTGGGTACATAAAAATTAATTATTATATCAGTATTAAAATAATTTATTATGAAATAAAATTTAATATAAATTTAATCTTCGTATTATAAAGTGAATAAAAACTATAATAAAATATAAAAACATCTTCAAAATAAGTAAAATAATTTCTCTAATTCAAATTAAGCGATGTAAACAGTTAAAAAATCAAATAAAAATAATTTATTATTAACCTATATATTAAAACATGTTAAAAATAATATTTATATCAAACTAATTATAAATTACTAAAAAATATTTGCGTAATACATAAAATAATAATTTATTTTTGAAAAAAAAGGATATCCAAATCAACAGGACATCAAATACTTTATTTGCTTTTCCTTCGATTTCCTTTTTAATAAAAATAAATCTACAACAACTTTTTTCAACCCTACTAATAATATTATGAAAAATAACAATATTAAAATATGTTAAAAATCAATCTCATGTTTTATCGAAATAAAGAGACTAAAACTGAAATTAGATCCCTTGGAAAAGTGAAAAAAAAAGGAAGGAGGAGAAGATAAAGCATTATCGAGTATGGCAGCACAACACAGCACCGCCACCGTCCCATCCCATCTGTACTGACATATCTTTCACGCACCAAAATCTCAACAGTAGAAGGCAGTTCCAAAATATCCCCCACAAACTCAAAGCAATTGTCGCCAACGCAACAATGACATCCAAAAAAGCAAACATCACTTCATTCAATTTTCACAATCCCTTTGATAAGCCCAAGAAAACGAAAGAAAATAACAGAAACGGACACATTTGTTAACTGTGATCTGATTTTATTTTCTATACGCATTAATCCAAAGGGAATCCACTTCACATACTGAAAAAGGAATTACTAAATTTTAAATTAAAGAAAGAATGAGTTTTTTTTTTGGGTTAAGATTACCTCGTTACATCATTTGTCGTCATCATCACCGTCATCACCGGACTTGTGGTGATTAACCTTCGAGCAACCCATTACACGCGCACCAACCGCCGTCTGAATCGGTGACGGCGTGAGCGCGTCAATCACAGTCGCGGACGACATCTCCATCTGACAAACCCTAACGGCGCCGATCAACTTTTCTGGCAGCTCATTCTCGGTCTGCGCTTCCACCAGAAATCCCATGTCGATTGTAACGCTCGTCACGTATCCCAATGCGAGGTGCAAAATCGCATTAGCGATTGCCGAGCTGGCGATATCTACATCTATTTCCAAATAATTAGGTCCTCTATGGTAATTACAGGTCAAAGCTTTACCTAACAAACAGGCGGCGTAATTGCCCACCGCCTTTTTGACGATCCACGGTCCTTTGACAATCCGGTTGACGATCTTGAACCGTTGGTTCCTGAACGAATCATCGCCGTTGATGAATTGGTAAAGTAAAGAGCCAGGAGGGATAGGATCCTCCGTAGCGAAATAGAACACGGCGCTATAATGATCTTTGCCGGGAACTTGAAGATTGACGGCGAAAATAAAGCTTTTCATGGATTTGCCTAGAGATTGAGCCTTTCTGAGCGCGTGAAAAACACGATTGTCAGGTCGGGCGAGTACGTTATCGACCTTAGAAGTTGTCTTGAGCCAATCCATCCCGAGCGGAGCGAGTAGGTAGTCTCCGGCGGGTGATTTTTGTCGTTTAGTGAGGTAGTTAACGGAACGGAGAGAGAAGAGGTGACCGGGAGGTGAGGCCCAGCCGTTGGTTCCTGTATCAAGGTCGACTTGACGTAAAGATCCACCGTGTATTGAGTCGGTGATCCAATCGGGGGTGGATGCGGAAGATTTGGCGGCCGAATCCATGGCGGAGCCTGGGTGTTTTTGCTTAGTAGTGGGGCTCACGATATTTATATTTTCGCTCTTTTTCTGCTTTCTCTACAACTTTTTTGCCTCTTTAATACGAAAACAATCAGAGGC